GGAGGAGAGGAGGAGCGCCAATGCAGCGGGCCAGTAGCGCACCAGCGCGTGGATGGGCGGGCATAGCTGCGGGCCAGCAGGCGGCTCTGCTTCTGCTGGCGAGGGAGATGGTGCTCAAGCACGTCGATGAGCAGCTGGATGACCAAGTAGGCCTGGTCGGTTGGGTTGGGCGAGCGACCTGTCCCAGCAGTCCCTTCGGTAGTCGCTACTAGCGACTCCTCCATGGCGCGTATCCCGCTCCCGACGGTGGAAAAGACATTGTCCTCGAACCCGGTCAGGTCGGTGTCCAGATTGTTGACGTGCTGGAGGACGGTCTGCATGAGCACGGTGGTCCGCGAGACAAGATCCCGCCATTCGTCTGGGTTGTCATGTTTCTTTGACGATGAAGGCGTTGGATCCAGGCCAGTACTGGCACCAGCACCGACACCGGCATCAGGAGTGATAATAGCGGGAGTGATGATGGTCTCGTCCTCGTCAGCCACGTCGAAGAGGAGGCCTTCCTCCATGAGCAGGCCAACGGCACAGGCAGTCATCTCCCTCAGCCTGCGCAGGCCACTGCGGCTAGCCCGAGCCCGGGAGCGGGCCAATTGAAAGGGTGAGAGGGCGAGCTCTCTGGCCTGGGAGCTTGAGACGGGACGAGCGCTGACGCTGCGGTGGACAAGCCGGTAGAAGGCCCGCCATCGTGCCATCAAAGTGGTGCCATCGTGGAGTCCGCTGCCAACACTAAGGTCCTCCGCAGTGCTGCCCCTGCGAGCATGACGAACATTATTATGGTTGCTGCCCGTCTGCCGGATGGTCCGATATAGGCTGATCAGGTAGCCCGCCCAGCGTGCCGGCGCCGTCTGGAGGGTGTAGAGGCCCGAGTAGAAGGCCGACCCAAGCACCTCGTCCCAGTACCAGATGCCATCGCTGAGGGGGACCGTCTCGTCGACCATGGAGCTCATGACGGCGGCAAACGTCTGCACCGTAGCCTTGGAGGCCACCAACCACAGCAGACTCGTAGTATACTCTCTGGCCGGTGCATTGTAGTCTCCATCTCCTTCTTCTTTGTCTTCATCTTCGGTATACCTCGTCTCGGCGGTTTGTATGACCTGCTGCAGGCGATGGACACGGCGTAGATGGTCGAGCACCCTGGCCGACTTCAGCGTACAGCCCCCAGAAAGGGCTCTGGCAGCTGCAAGGAGCGGCGGATGGACTGATCCCAGGTCCTCCTGCGCCCTGCCCGTCCTCCTCGCTGTTCTCGCATCCTGTGTGGTGGTGGTGGTGGTGGTGGTGGTGGTGATCTCTCTCGTCCTGGCGGCGGCGGCCTCACGCAGCTGGCTCGTCTCGACGCCGGCCTCCGCAAGGCCTCGCAGCTGTAACCGGTCGACGTAGGCGTCCAGGCGGCGGACGTGACTGCAGCCGTCAGCATCTATTCTCTTATATACCGGCTCTCCTTTGCCTTTCTCTCAGTGGCTTCATCCTCGTCGTCATCTCCAGCTCTGCCTGTCTCTCCTGCTACTTACTCGCCAATGAGCGACATCCCGGCCACCCGGCGAGTGGAACGGCGTCCCGGAGCGTCTCAGTCTCGGATTCTGCGCAGTCTGGCGCTCTTCGTCGAGTCATGAAGTCATGCAGTCATACGATCTCTGCGCGCGGTCTCGCTATGCTGGATGTTGTTCTTCCTTGCTCCGCGCTGCCATCAACGCCGCTGCTTATATATAAGCTGGCCACCCTACCGTGACCTTACCTCCTTGATCTCTACCTCGATCAGTCTCTACTTGATATCTAGCTCCTAGTCTCTACCAGTCTCTATTAGCTCCTCTATCTACTTCTACGTCTTCTACTTCGACTTCTTCGACTTCTTCTCGTATCTGTCAGGCCACCACGGCTCGTCAATAGGCGGCTGACTAAGCATCCCCTGACTTTTATCTTTTTCTTTTATCTTTTTTTTCAACTTCAACTTCAACTTCAAATAACAACAAGAAGAAGAAGAAGAAGAGAAGAAACGCCGTCGACAGCATCTTCTCAGCCTCTGGACACGCCCGAGTCTTCACGCCGGCTGCTGGCTTCTCCTCCGGCTCCCGCTGAGCCCTCCTGTCCGCCATGTAGGTAGCAACCTCCCCGTCTGCCGTCGAGCTCGCGGTTAACCTTCGGTACCTGCAGGAATTCAACAACGCTGCTCTCCCCTCCGCCGGAGACGTACTGGGCCCAGTTCCAGCAGACGGCCGCCTACAACCCCCAGCTCAATGTCTTCGAGCAGATGTGGGCGGCCTGGTACGCCTACATGCAGAACGACGTCCTCGCCACCGGCATCATGTCCTTTGCCATGCACGAGATCGTCTACTTTGGCCGCTCGTTTCCCTGGATGATCATCGACCGTCTGCCGTACTTTAACCGCTACAAGATCCAGAGCGTACGTATCTCCTTATATTATTCATTTTTACTATCATTCTTTAAGCCTCCTTCTACGTCGGAAACTAACTTGCTGTAGAATAAAATCCCGACCCTGCAGGAACAGTGGAATTGCGCCAAACTCGTTCTTCTCAGCCACTTTACAGTCGAGCTGCCCCAGATATGGTAGGATCCAGCCTTGTTATATAGAAGAGAAGAAAAAAAGGGGGTGAAGCTAACAGCAGTAGGCTATTCCACCCAATGGCGCAATACTTTGGCCTAGAGACGACGGTTCCCTTCCCTCCGTGGTGGAAGATGGCCTACCAGATCGCCATCTTCTTCGTGCTCGAGGATACCTGGCACTACTTCTCGCACCGCGCTTTCCACTGGGGCCCGCTCTACAAGTCCGTCCACAAGATTCACCACCAGTACTCCGCTCCCTTTGGCCTCGCCGCCGAGTACGCCTCTCCCATCGAAGTCATGGCCCTGGGCTTCGGCACCGTCGGCTGCCCCATCCTCTGGTGCGCCCTGACCGGTGACCTGCACATCCTCACCATGTACCTCTGGATCGTCTTCCGTCTCTTCCAGGCCATCGACGCCCACAGCGGCTACGAGTTCCCCTGGAGCCTGCACCACTTCCTCCCCTTCTGGGCCGGTGCCGACCACCACGACCTCCACCACGAGAAGTTCGTCGGCAACTACGCCAGCAGCTTCAGATGGTGGGACTACCTACTCGACACCGAGTACGACCCCGCCGCCCTCCAGAGAAAGAGAGAGCAGAAGGCCAAGAAGGCCCAGTAGTCCTCTTCTCTTCCTCTTCCGTTAGTGTCTTCTCTCTCGCTTTGGCTCCATTTTCTGTCTTCCTGTCTCCCGCCCGCTCGGTTGAATACGACGCTACAAACGCAGCACGGCTAATTCTTCCACGGCCACCAGAAACACTGTTAATTTTTGATCTTCTTTCTCGCTACATGTTCAGCTTTTGACCCTCTTATCCGCTTTTAATGTCAGCCGCCCTGGCCAGCAGGCACCCCTTTTTCGACCTCTTCTTTTTTTATCATGCCCCCCCTTACATTATTTCCCTCCCCACGCTATAACGAGATCTGTCTGTATCCTACAAAAAAAACCCCCCGTCCCTCACCATGTCTGCGTTAGAGGTACAATAGAATAATTTATAAATACAAGTGTTAAAAATACATACTCAGACAGCAATAATACGAACAAACCACCCACCCCCGGGGGGAGGAGAAGAATGCCATCTACGTACTCTGATGCAGTCAACCCTTGCAACCAGTATGCAGGAAACCGTCTCCAACGGCGTTATTGGCTGGAACCGGCCGGACTGGACGGGGTGACGCATCTTACGCTCCCAAATATTCCGTAGTCTACGAAACCAAAGGGCGAACAGAGGCCACTCGTCTCTTGCGAATATATGTGCGCCCCGTATGCAGGTATCCTGCCTGCGGTTATCCCTCGTTCCGCGCCCTCCAGCGCCTCCCATGGGGCCTTTCTCCCCCCCCCCCCCCCGGTCGCAATGCAAATCTCAGTCCTACGGTGATGTAGCAGGCTGAGGAATCCCGATGCCCTCCTCACTTTGGTCTTTTCCCTTGAGCTTATACATAAATAGTCTCATCCTGCCCCTCTGTTGTAGGTAGAACGCTGCTTTGCCGTGCTTAACTAGCTAGCTATCAATTTCTCAATTTCTGCAGTGCAAAAAAAAAAAAAATATCTATAACTACACCAAAGCAAAATATTTCCATTTATCTCCCCCACCGGCCATCCACGGGAGAAGAAGAAGAGACGAGCAGGCGTCGACAGGTGACAAAGGCTAGGGATACTCGTCTGGTACCATCTCGCCTGGCCAAAGACAGCTGTATACATAGAACTGCTGCAAGATGGCGGAGTCGAAGCTGTTTACTGTCCGTCCGGCCTCCAAGCAAGCCCGCGCCGACCACAAGGATACATTCCGGGTCTATCTGTCGCCGGCGTCGCTGCTGCAGGTCAAAGTCCGAGTAGGCGAGCTTTGCCAGCTAGAGACTTATAGCATTGCCAGCAACGGCCATGGTGGTGGTGGTGGTGGTGGTGCTGTTGGTGCTGCTGCGGGTAGCAAAGTGAAGACTGCCATAGCATGGAGTGCCGCAGAGAAGATACACGACAACATCATCCAGACGACCAAGCAGATGCAGGAGCTCTACGGCCTCAGGCTGGGTGACAAGGTCTCTATTTCGCCTGCGTTCGACCCGCTGGCTGATATCGAGACCGTCAGGCTCGAGGAGGTGAAGCGCAGCAGCTCTGCCGGCACCTCACCAGCAGCTTCGTCGGTGACCTCGGAGCTGGCAGCAGAAGAGCGTCCGCACTGGGAATGGGCGCTTGAATACCCCCTGTCAAAGTGCGAGGTTGTTTCGCTCGGGCTGACGTTTGACGTCGAACTTAAGGGCGTCTCCAGGCGGTTCAAGGTGGTCCATATCAATGCTGGGAGTAGTAGCAACGACACTGCCAACACCATCTTTAAATATACCCAGCAGTCGAAGGTGACCATTGGCAAGGCAGATGAGGTCCCCGGGGACGCAGATCCAGCGTCAACGGGCCGTCTGGAGGTCACGGCTGATGGACTCGGCGGTCTTGCGCCCCAGCTGGCAGTTGTCAACGAACGGCTGCAGGACTTCAATACCCACGATCAGATGATTATTATGCCCTCGTTCTACACGAGTACTGGCGGGATTCTCATCTACGGAGCCAAAGGGACGGGAAAGAGTGCTATGTTGGCAAAGATAGGAGAGACCAACTGGCGCAGAACTTTCAACGTCACATCGTCGATTACCAGCAGGACGGGGGGAGATGGAGCTGCAGTTCTGCGCAAGATATTCTCGGATGCGCTCAAGTACCAGCCTTCGCTCATCAAGATTGACCAGCTCGACTTTATAGCACCCAAGCGATCCTCTGCAGGGTCAACCGATGCTTCCCTCTCTCCCGCTCTCTGTGAAGCACTGGACTCGCTCCAGGACAGCAAGGTGCTGGTGGTTGCATGCACAAGGCACCCGAATGATGTGGATGATAGCCTACGCACACCTCACCGGCTTGGGATTGAGATTGAACTGCAGATTCCCACTTCAAAGAGCAGACTGGAAATTCTACAGGCTCTTCGCGGGTCGGCAACCCAGCCTACCAACAGGGTGTTGGAGACCATAGCTGCAAAGACCCATGGATACGTTGGTGCAGACCTCCTCTCATTACTTCAGTTGTCCTGCAGAAAGGCAAAGGCCCGTATGTTATCGCCTGCACCTCCGCCTCCGCTTACGAATGGTACATCTACATTCGGAAATCGGTTTTATGCTGGAGAGTATGAAAACGAGAGTGACGGGTATTTTGATGAGGATGATGATGAAGGCGGATACTATGAGGATCATTTGGATCTCTCTAGTGACAAACCACAACCCTTGAAGATTTACGAGAAAGACATGCTCCTGGCCATGAAAGAGGTCCGGCCAACGGCCATGAGAGAGGTTTTCTTGGAAACGCCGTCTGTAAGATGGTCGGACATTGGTGGGCAAAGGTACATCAAGAACCGTCTGCAGAAGGCTGTCGAAAGACCACTCAAGGTACCTCTTCCTCCCCTGACCCTCATCCTTTCACGCAGAACTTAATGCTAACGGATATAGAATCCCGAGCGAATGAAGAATCTCAATATCAGTGGAAAGAAGGGAATACTACTTTACGGCCCACCCGGGTGCTCAAAGACGATGATGGTCAAGGCCCTTGCCACCGAGGCTGGGTTGAATTTCCTAGCCGTCAAGGGAGCCGAAATGCTCAGCATGTACGTGGGTGAGTCAGAAAAGGCAATGCGGGAGATCTTCCGCAAGGCGCGGGCAGCAAGCCCAAGTATTATCTTTTTCGACGAGATAGACGCCATTGCATCTCGGCGAGACGCCGGCTCGCATGGCGGGATCAACATTTTGACCACTCTGCTGAATGAAATGGATGGCATCGAGGAGCTGAAAAACGTTCTCGTTGTTGCTGCCACCAACAAGCCAGAGATCCTCGACCCTGCACTCATGCGACCTGGAAGACTGGACAGCATATTGTACATTGGGCTTCCAGACATGGAGGCTCGCAAAGAGATATTTGAAAACTGGATTGACCGCGCTGATGTCGATGACGAGGTGGACGCTCTCATCCTGGCCTCCGTGACTGACGGCCACTCCGGTGCTGAGCTCGTGAACATCTGTGAAACTGCTGCCGAACTGTGCCTGGACGAAGAAGAAGAAAAGAGAATGCCCAATCTACAGATCCAGGTCCATCACTTCCGAGCTTCGCTCGAAATGGTCCCGAAACGGACCCAGCCAGAGGTTATCCAAGCCTACGAGGAGTGGAGCAGGAGCTTTGCGAACAACCAGCAGATAACGATCTTATGAATAACGGTTTCTCTTAATCCCATTCATCACTCATGCTTGTATTCGTTATCTTCTTCATGCTTTGCCATTCCTTGCTTATCGGGTTGATTAAGAATGTTTGAATGTATATCTTGGAAAGCCCCTATTTATTCAAACAAACTAGTAATCCCGACTCATCCCAGTATAGTTTGCTATATCCAGGTTGGTTTCAGAATCGCAGGACGGTCAAACCATCCATTCATTTTTAGAGTCACGAGCCGTCCAAGCTCCGTTGACCCTGAAGTGCTGACAGCCAGATCCTCCATATCCCTAAGGACCTTGTCTATGGGTTCTGCAGCACCAGATAAGTTTAGAATAAGTGCAATGGCTCTGTGGAGTGCAAGAAGCCGAGGTAGCGGAGGGTCAATCGATCGGTCCTCAGTTAAGTATAATTCGCGGGTAACAGGGAGTTCCTGTATAAGCCCACCAGGAAGGAGTGACTCAATCCTATATGTGTGATGCTTGTCAGATATAGGCGTAAAAAAGATTTCAAACTCGCCAAAATATCGGTGAAGGTCTAGAGTAAGGGTTATTGCGTTGAATGGTTTGTCAATATTAACGCCGTCAATAATATGAGAGATGTTAAAATCAAACATATTGAGCATCATAAGCGTAGCCTTCTTCGCGTCGCTCTAGATAAAATGTTAAACCTGTAGAATGATTAAAAAAAAACTAGGAAGGAGAGTTACATACCAGCTCGCCATTCGCACCAGCTTGGGTTAGCGAATGCGGGATAATATGTGCTACTTCAAGGTGCCCAACCTTAGGTTTACGGTCCTGGTGCTCCCCTAATAGCCGATTTCCGTCATCATCTTCAGCGTTGTCTCCATGTTGGCGTAATCGCTTATTAGCTTCCGATGTGTCGAATGTATGGGAAACGACACATTTGTGGTGGTCGCGAATGAGACATAACTGACGGAGAGCAGCCACCCGTTCTGGGGTCGGGATATGCTCATATGATGCTAGGACTCTTTGGAGAGCCGACATATGAGCTGGGGAAGGTTGTGAGGTACAACCCCCAGATGCTCGTACTATTGCAACCGGTATTAGTAACTTAACGATTGAAACATGATAGATAGGCACCTACTTGGGAGAAAGAAGCTGTCAAATAAAAAGTCTGCAAATGCGGTTAAGTTCTTGCGCAGGCCATCAGCTTGGCTGGCGAAATCTGGGGCTGGGGCTGTCTCGATATCGATCCCCATTGCATCAAAAAACACCCGGAGAAAGGCGTCCTGGGAGGGACCCGGCAGTGAAAAGCTGTACGAATGATGGACAAGGAGAAAGCGGCTGTATCTTGGAGGAGAGCCAGAGGCAAGTTCCTCTTGCCGGAAGTGATCCACAACTGTATGAAATATCGTAGCTGCGCGTTCTCTCTGGCTTTCCGAGAGCGGCTGGGGGGAAAAGTTGATTATGCCCTCCAACGACGACTGGTGGTAAAGATGAGCCATTTATACTCCGTAAAATCTTCTCATATGACACCTCTGGTTGAACTGAATTTGCTGCAATATCAACGGAGCGATGCTGGTATAATGGAGAGCTCTTAGGCGTACGTAGATGGCGGGCTGCGTAGTTCGTACAACTAAGTAACTAGTTAAGTGAAGTAGTTATTTGGCTGACAGGACAAACGGCGATCGTGACAGAAGATTATGTAAGGGCGTTTACATAACTCCACTATTGGAACTAACTAGTTATCACGTGATAACCTTCTTTCATCGAGAACTTTGCGTGTCGAGCTGAAAATCTCGCCCTTGTTGGCCATTATTGATCTTCTCTGCGGCGGACTGAGCACTCTATACCCTCCGGGAACACCAATTATACCAACTGTCAGGCCCTCTCCGCGCTGTTAGACCAGCTATCGCCAGCTCGGAGCTCTCTCAGATCGCCAGGATGCCGTCGCGCAGCCGCTCGCGCTCACCGTCGATAGCTTCGCGCGGGTCTCATCGCCATCATGGTGCAGATACTTATAGTAACAGACGACCCTCTCAGCCGTCACAATCTCCCCGCCGCCGGTTATCGCGGTCTCCGTCGCCGCGACACGCCCGGTCCCGCACCAGATCACGGTCGAGATCACCTCCCCCACGACGCGCGAGATCTCCTCAGAACCATAGACGGAGCTATAGTCGTGATCGAAGCGCATCGCCAGCTCGAGATGGCCGAGACAGGCGCAATGGAAACCGTGGTGTGCGGTACAGTGAGTCTCGGTCAAGGTCGCGAAGTCCATATTCTTCGCGCAGCCGCAGCCGTAGTCGCAGCCCTGTCAGAGACCGTCGACCGCGCGGTAGAAGCTATACCAGAAGCCCTACTCCCCCCGCTAGAAGGAGTGCAAAGGTATCGTTTATTCTCTCCGGTTATTTGTAGTTTGGGTGCGCAAACCTGCTAATCTCACCGCGCCAGATTGTCGTGGAGAAATTGACGAAGAATGTCAACGAAAACCACCTGCGCGAGATCTTCTCTGCATACGGAGAGATAGAAAGCCTAGAATTACCAATGAATCGGCAATGTGAGGCCTCCACTCGTCTTTGCATACATAGCTTATTTAATTAACTTATGTTATGATTTCAGTCATGACCAACCGTGGAGCTGCGTACATTCACTATCGCGATCCTGCAGATGCCGAGTCCGCAATTGCTCATATGCACGAAGCCCAGCTTGATGGTGCCGTACTAAGCGTCTCTATAATACTCCCTCGCCGCACATTTTCGCGCTCCCCTCCCCCGGCCACCAGACCCTCTCGTACGGAATATGGTGGTGGGCGGTACGGAGGCGGCAGGGGTTCAGCTTTTCTTGATTCGGGCAGACCACCACCGCCGTTGTCTTCAAGGTACCGCTCTCCGCCAGGCCGTGGCAGATTTCGCGGAGGCCGCGCTGCGGATCGACACGATATATACCGTCCGCGGTCAGTCTCACGATCCCATTCCCCTGTCGGGCGAGCAAGGTCACCTTCATATTCCTCGAGGTCTCCATCAGTTACACCTCCACGTATGAGACGTTCGAGAAGAGATAGCCCGCCACGTCGTAGGAGAAGTCTGAGCTATAGCAGTGTCAGCAATAGAAGTCTAAGTCGATCTCCCAGCAGGACTAGGGGCCGTTACGGGCGCTGAGCACCTCATACAAGGCACAACATCCAATAATCATCTTTTCATTATCATCATTACTACACTGACTTGCTGGAGACAGATGATTTACTATGGAGTTTCAAAGATTTTTTTTTTTTTTTTTCTTGAGTGAAATGGTGTTGTTCTATTTAATTCGAAACAGATGTATAACATGGGCGAACATCGGGCTGGGAGTAATTGAAAACCATCTATGGCTTCTATTTTTGCATCTGGGGCTGCGCTCACGCCTATATATCCCTGTTTCTTATATTTGCATTAAACACAGAAAATGGCTTCAACGGTATACATAAGTCAGCTGCTGAAATGATATACATCTATTGACAAGGATTGTGCAAGCGCTCTGGTCTCAGAAAAAGGGGCACCAGCCTATGTACATCGCTGCAAGATTCTTGTCTTGAGTTGCCTGTAGAATTAGTTCATCCACATGTCCTCCAACTGATAACGGGACGGATTCTCCGGGAAGAAGTCCTCGGAGCTTGTTACGGATAAGTTCGAGCACACCCTCTGGTGTATCTGGAACGCGTGGGTTATGTCGTTTCTGCAATCTGTCAGATGCTTGCGATATGTATTCCATGATCAATGGGTAAACTAACCTTCTTTCCAATGAAATCTGTAGTGGGCTCATGCAAGAAGGTTTCGAGAATAGTCATAAGAGAATCTTCGTTTTGTCGAAGGAGACCCAAAGTGAGCTCGCAAGTCTTCCGGAAAGGGCCTTGAAAGAATAAGGGTAGTGAATTAGCCATTAAATGTACTGTTGATAACATGTCCCGGGCAATTTTTACCGTTGTATCCGTATGCCCCATACGCATCAGTCATATTATGGGTAAGCCGGAACGGGACAAGTTCAGGTTTGTCAAAAGTCAATCCCTATTAATCAATATGAGTTAGAACCATTGCATAGAGACACAATCGAGGGCAGACATACCTTGTCAAAGAGGCAGTTAAAATCAACATGAAGAATTCCTCCAGTCTCTTCCTCAAACAGTATATTCTCTCCGTGTCTATCACCAAGTCTTCATTAAAAAGATCAGCCTGGGTTCATGTTTTCTGTTGGGGGGGTTGTAAGGGAAATACAATCTTCACATACCCCAGAGAATATCCAACCATGGACATCACAGCGCTGGATCTTGTGTATTTTAGGCGAGCCGCAAACCATGTGGCTGGCTCTGGGAATGTTTCAACAAACCATTCATGTAAGACCGGCGGACACCTGATTTTATATTAGCTTGTGCCTTAGATACATGGGGAGGCTTAGGTGGTATGAACAAAATCACGCACTTCTTCAATACTTTCTCCCTGAAAACTGAAAGTTTGGAGTCATCCGAGCATGCTTCATCCAAATTCCGGCGTATCTCGGAATACTTTATCAACTTTAGCATCACTCTGCTAGACATGTCGAGGTATCACTGCACTTACATTCACGGACACGCCTCGATCTTTGAGAAGTCTTGTCACAATATCCCTTAGGGTTCTGAGGTTATTGACCCATTCAATTAGGCCACATTCTTCATTCAATGGGGTGACTGCATATGTTTTGATATCTGTGTGCCACCTGGGGTTAGCGACTAAGCCACGAAAATGCTAAATCAAGAGAACAGCCTTACACAAGCGTCGCTTATTTGACTCAAGATCCCTCATAAGGAATCGGTTGATCATGCTGTTGAACTCCATTAAACGCTGGTCTTTGCGTAGATCATCCTTCGGCTTGCATAGAAGACCATATATCTTTCCATCTGATCCGCGTATATTTATCTTACGCGGCTTTTGCAGGGAATTGAGAACCAAAGCCTCGTCCAATATAGCTGGTTTGCCAACGTTAGCTTACGAATTATTTTGGAGGAAACATATTATCAGTTATCCTACCCTCAACTGTTATGGTATCCGCCGGAAAAGCACGGAACGTCTTGAGGAAGTGAGGCTCGTGACTTGAAGGCAGCGTTGGAGTCAATGTAGCCTGTAAAGGAATCGCGAGCTTGCACGGTGCTACTTTGTGGTTAAAACGCAAAGATTTAGATAAGCTGACTTTTGAAGATTTCTCTTCTATGCGCGCGAGACAGAGTCCTAAGAGCTCTTCTGAAAGCTTCTGGCCTTGGTTAATAATCAACCGAATATCCCCCGCTGGAGGCTCTGTTCTTGATTTCCTGGAAGACTCCTAAAAATGCTGTGAGAGACTGCTTCTTTTCAATATCCGTAGTAGTCTTCTTCAGCTTGTTGCTAAACAGAGCTCTAGGCTATACTTACAGTTATCTTCTGAAGGATGGTAATTCCACGGGAAGCACGATCTTTTGAAGAAGACTTTAGCAGGGCAAGCACAGTCCACAACCCTTGCTGGGGAAAAGCAACAACAGGTCTCACTATCATCGACGTGAGCGTATTATAAACAGTGGTATTAGATTGACAGATTCGAGCCACAACTTGGGGTAGAATTGTGAAGAGCTGATAGTGTCAGCATCCGTATTGAAGGAATATGACCGTGGAAAATCTGAGCTTACCAATGCCGGAGATATGCGACTGATATATTTCTTCAGTTGAGAGTGCATTTCATCGAGATTCTTTTTTCGTTGCGACATGTTGTGCTTTTGGAAATCCCTAAAATACCATTTAGACGCAATCCACTTAAGAGGGTTGGCATACATACTCATTATCACCTCTTTTTGGGTCAAATGGTTGGTCGACTGCTGCGGCATGTTCTAACCATAGCGTAAGAACCTTCGGTAGTGTTTGAGAAACATACTTATTCCCAAAGGTCAGAGATCGCAGATAGCTGTTGATGACCAACTTCGAGGCTTCACCGCTTAAGCTAAAATAAAACGTTAGTACGTGGTCTTGATGTAGGGTTATAAAATGGTAACGTACTATTTCTGACCCTCTTTACCCAAGGGTTTGGACTTTTCGGAGTCTAATATTTTCGCATAATGCTTTCCTAAGTAATAATGGACCTTTTCCCACCTAATGACGATTAGCTATCCGATATGGCTGGTGATTTCTGAAATTAACGTACTTCGAATGGTAATGGATAGCCTGCCGGTATCTCGAGACGATGAAATCTGATTGTGTCTGCCCAGCACTATCCATCCATTTCGCAAGTAGGAGATAGGCCTACGAAAGTCAATCAGCAGATATTGAATATTACTAATAGAAATACGTGCACTATACATACCCTTGCCATAAGTAAATTTTGCTCGTAGCTTTTTGTGGGAACAGAGGCGTCATTATCACTAGTTTCAGAGCGACCATTTGGACCAAAGACATTGGCAGAAATGGCTCCTTCTAGCGTTTGTATAGCCTTCCTATGAAGGCCCTCCTTCCATAGAAGTCTCGCATATTCAATTGTAGAATTTTTGTCGTTAAGCTGGGCAGAATGTAACACTGCATTGAAAGCTTGGTCTTTGCAGTTTGCTTTCCTGGCCAGCCTTGCAATCCGCTGCCAAACAGAAGCAACTTCTAAGTCATCGTATGCAGGGCTATAAATGGTTAGAGTCACGCCTCAAACTACGTGGGAAACAATTTGGAGACTTACGACAAATCCATGATAGCTTGTCTAATCCCAAGGACATACTGCTTGTCAGAAATACAGCCTCCTAACATGTCTAAACGACGATCCAATATGGTAAAAAGCTCATTCCGTGGAGTAGAAGAGTTGTCATAAGAACCTGAGGTCAGGAGCTCCATTTCACTCAAGACGTGCAGCTTAAGGGTGCCATCGTGACTAGCCTGGAATGTTGACACGGAATTCAGGGTGAATCCTGATGCAACATTCATCCGGAGCTCCTCTATAATTTTTTCCAGCTCATCTTTTTTCCCCTGGCGAAATGCAACTAGGCCAACACCGACGCCAATGTTGAAGTCGGTGGTGATCTCATCACGATGGTCTAATGTGAGCTTCTCAAGCTTCCCCCATTTCCCTGTCACCCAAGAGGATTCGATTGCCAAAGGGAGCATCTTCGGTATAATAGCCTCGTTCTTCTTCAAAGAGTCAAATTGGTTGAGAAGTATACCTAGAGAAGTCAGTACCATCAAGACAATGCAGCAATCATCGTTATCTCATACCGTATTGTCCAGATTCCTTCAAGCATGTTAGAAGATTTATCTGGGTGTCGAGGTCCTTTGGTGACTTATTTAATTGCAGCTCGTACCAGCTCTGTGCTGCAGTCCATCGGCCTGAGTTTCGATGTTCCAATATCTGCTGGTCAAGATCAAGGACATGCAAGTGCGATGATATGCCTTCAATACCGTCTGGCTCATCAATCTGGGTATAAATATCTTGTAGTCTTTGATAAAGTGATTCCAGCTCCATGGCATTTGTTTCTGGGCGAGACTTCTGCTGGCGTATGTACTGCTCCCAATGGAAGAGCGCCCTAGCATATGACTTACATTCAACTGCCCGTTTAGAAATTATCTCAGCTGGTATGCAGGATAAAAGTTGTTCCACCCTCTTTATCTGGACAGCAGACTCCGTGAGGGATTCTTTTTGACTGCGGCTGGCATTATTCCCAATAGAGGTTATGCTAGTATACTCCTTCTTTTTTCCATGCAACCAACGAGAAAGGTAGTCTAAAACAGCAAACACGCTCTTAAATTTTATCATTATTAGTATATCCCATCACTTCCGGAATTTCCAACATACCTCGCTAAATAAAATCAGATTCTCCCGCTCAGGTCCCTTGTGGTCTGGCAGTGGGCATTCTAAGATGTTGGTAAGCTCCCCCTTGAGATGCTCACGCTCTTCGTCAATAGCGCTAACCGCAACATTAAGAGCAGCGAAAGGGAGCAAGAACACAGATATAGATTTTTCCTGGGTTCGAATAATCCGACTGAAAACACTGAAAAGTATTTGGATATTTCTGCTTTTGCCTTTTTGAAGGATGTCAAGAACAAAGGTCCTAAGCCATTCCGAGTGGTTTAGAGTCGGAGTAAATAAGGGATATTGACATGATGTACTGATCGCACCGATTGTCACAGAGTACTTGGAGTTGAGAAATGGGGTTAGCGTGTTTCTAGAGAGCTCAGGGAGTTCTAGCCAGCGTCGATACAAGTCGCTGGACTGGGGATCTTGTGACCTTGGCGGAATAGCCGTGCTTATGTTACCAGTAGTCAAGAGCGCCTGCATAGCATACGCAAGAAAGCCTTGAGTTCGACTGTTGGACGCTGCCAAAAATGCATCAACAAGAATATTTTGAAGACAAAATATTATGAAGTCAAGGGTTTCATCGGATCTCTCAAAATTAGACAAGACAACTATGTCCTTTTTCTCTTTGATCGACTCTATGCGATTAGGGTCAAGGCAGCCTATTAGACCGAGGCACTGGGCAGATAGTGAGACTATGGTTGGGGAGCTTGGATTATACTTGACGCAGCAATCCAATAAGGTTCTTGTCACTTTTCCAACCAGGCTTTTGTCCGGTTGTTCACTAAACACAGAGCCGTGTATGAACTCTTCGTGGTTAGCGAGGTTTGGCAGAAGCTCAACAAGAGCTCGCTCGACGACAGCAAAATTATCGCTTTGACATCGTCGGCAAAGAGCCATGAATTTACTCCTTATATCCATCATTTGTTTGAGGTTCTCGATTTTTTTGTTTTGCTCAGACAGTTCAGGTATTGATTCCAGAGATGGTAAGGTCTCAAAAACAGCAATAAGGATATCGTCATTGTCCCTGAGAATGTAATCCACAAGCTCGATTTCTTTCTTTTTGGACTTTTCCGTTAAGAACTCCCAGTATTTGAGAATGATAGCAAAGGTTTGATCAACCAATGGCTCAAGATCAACCTCATTAAGAGCAAGTATCATGGCGTTCCAGGTAGCAAATGCATGGTCACGAAGGTCATCTGTGTCTAACGCAGCGCGCAAGCAGGCACAAATCTAAAGAGCAGGTCAGAGCACAGCTCACTTGGTAGCTGTGGGGGTGGGAAAAACTAACTTGTGGTAAGGCAATGCCAATGTTGCCCTTGGCAATTTTTATCATCTCTCCCAAGGCGATTATATCCCGTTTCTTCTCTGGAATTGGCTGCAAAACCTGAAAGTCGTTGATAACATGGACAAACTCTGTTACCACCCCAAGAACGTGCTCTTCGATGAACACACTTAGATTCTCTGACTTTTCAACTACGCCCCGGCCAACTTGCCGAGGTGTAACGGATGCGATGTATTCAAGAGCATCGTAGTACTACTCAAGTATTAGTATTTTCATGTATGATGTTGGTAAAGTGCATTACCTTAGACCCTTTCCCCTCACCTGAACTACCTAGTCCTCGCAGGAGCTCACAGGTAATTGGGACACACTCAGATCGAACTAGCTTTGAAAGGGTTGGGTCGTTGAATTTCACAGAAAGCTCTTGGAGTATACAGGGTATTGCAGCTTCTGGGTTAGGGAGAGGCTGGACCAACAAAAGCGCTAGAATCGATGCCAGATGCGACCGGGTCTTGATTAATTCTGAGATAGATTTCTTGCTGTGTGTCATGGCAATTCGTGAGATAATATCTTTTTTTCTGGTCAGAACGAGATAGGGCAAGGTGTAAGACGTGGTTAAGCGTAAGAACCCATTAATCTCCATCCCGAGTAAATCACACAACTGATCCGCCATTTGTGGCCGAGCTTGAAAGTTTTTTATGACCAACTGAGATAGTGTTCTCCAATATGGCCGAAAGAGTGCTGCAGGTGTCAACTTCAACAGAGTTGTCAATTTAGATATCTATACTTTTGTTAGTGATAACAGATGTATTTGAAAAGGATGTGGTCATCACCTACCTCTGTGTATGCTATCCCACTGATGAATGGGTTAGCATGACCTAAATACTCAAGTAACCGTAGAAGCACAATGTTCATCTCTTCGTCATTTGAAATCCTGTTATTCAGATATTAATAGAAGCCAGTAGTAGTATTGACAATGAAACTTACTCAGCTATTTGACGCAGAGCCATAACGCATGTTTCCTGTAAGAAAAGCTCATTCTTCTCAAAAATCTTGTGAAGGTACTCTAGAGCCACAATGAAATTGCTGCAGCGTAAATCTGATCCACGAGAGCCTCTGAGAAATGATACTAATGCTTTCCTAATAAGACATGATAGTTAGAATTATACAAGCCCAGTGTGTTATGTCGAGGGGTCATAATGATTTGTACTAACCCGGCGGCAACTCTCAACTCTCGAATAGAGCTTTTGAGAGACCGTAGACAATATTCTCCAAATAGAGAAATATCTAGCCTGTCTTCGGTATCACGCAAATCATGGTTAACAATGTTGCGAATAGCAATCATCGCAGATATTCTGCAGCTCCCTGAATCCTCGATTCGTGGCAGAATGCCGGCAATAATGCTTCTAAGATAGCCAAACTGAAGCGGAGATATCGGTTTTTTTGTATAGCACTTCTCCACCTCATCATTACACACCTTGCACATATACGTTTGTCCCGCAATATTACCATATTCCTCTCCACAAAGGCTTTGTGCCCAGGCACAAGCAAGTCTTCCCAGATTCATAATGATAATGCATTTGTCGGCAGCAGACAAATTAGAGAAATCTTGCCTAAAACATGTCAACAGGAAAGTACCCACATAATTGCTAACAAGTAACTCACATAGCATCTTCATCTAAATCTTCAAGGCCATTTGGAGGAAATACCCCAAGGGTACTGTATATTTTATTCGAGACAACACTCGAGAGATCTGAGTGGCCGTTCTGATCTTCTGCATTGGATAGTCGTGGCCTCTTTGAGGCTCTTTCATCTGTAGAGGCATCAATTAACGCAACCATGGAGGAATCCTTCTTGTCAGAAATATATGAGCGAGAAGTAGACCCCCTATCTTTATCAAATAAGCCAACACGCCGGACTGCCTTCGACCCAAGCTTCGCTCTATGCTCTCCGGCGACCACTCTAAGAACAACATGCTATACCTTGTTAGTCCGCTTCGTCGCTGCCGGTATTGGGTATGGCTGGTTTACCTGGAGTGATTGATGTAGTGTTTGAAAGAAGTCTAAATTAGCACCAATGTCGGATAAGGGGTAGAAAAACAGCTCCTCGACCAAGCCTTCCACTCCTGCTGACGATTGGCTTAGGCGAATTACTTCCATCAGAAATTCAGCTAGAACCTGTTGTAATTCATTGCTTCGCTTTAATTTCTCAGGGTCCACAAGGTCGACGACACATTGAAATAAAGGCAACAACACCTTCTGATCAATGCGTGAACTAAGCCGAGTCGAATAGGAGCATAATTTTCTGGAAAACGAGACAAACTCGACCAGAAGGCTTGTGAGACTTTCTTCGCCTACAGCCACTGTATTCGCATCAAACCATGCGAATATTGCTTTCCACAGTCTTACTCCAAAGTGCAAACCATAGTTAAAGCTTTCACGCAATAAGGATGCTTTTGAATCGGTTAAAGAAAGCTCAACTGGGCACGTGATAGCCTCTATGAGTCTAAGGCAAGCCATGGCAACAGTTTGTGGATTTTCTAGCTGACTTTTACCGCAGCAATCCCGCGGAAGGCCAAGCTCATCTAGACATGATAAAAATTCAACAGTGGGCACTGGAAAATACAAATCATTGCCGGGGAAAACGCCTCCACATGGCATCTTAGCGGTCTCGATTGAATGAATTAATTCTTCATTAGGTCATATGGTTAGAAGGAGATAAAGCTGAATCGATTAAGGGAGACATGAACTAACCACCAATGCAGGCCTGGAGAAATCGAGATATTGATTTCACTGAGTACCAAAGCCGAATAGTTTTGAACTGAGTACCATATATGACTGAGACAACCTGGCATACTTTGTCCTGTATACTTCGATCGTTCCAAGAGCAAAGGAGAGTCAGGAGGGATGACAGGACCCATACGAACAAGGGAGATTGCAGAGTATTTTCTTTGATTAATTCTGGTTTTGCACTTCCATTTAGAACTGCTGGTGCTCTCTGTACGGCCAGGCGAATGATATCTAGACAGTCAAGGGTTTGGCCTATGATATCATCTCCCGAAGCCCTGGCACCCTGGGGCTTTAGAGATTGTTCAAAGCCGGCTCTTACCACCACACATATTAGATTGTAGATATCATCGATGTTATCATTGGTGTTTGCTTCGCCATCTTCACTCTGGCTAAGAATTTCCCGCCGGAGCTGTGAGAAGGTTTCCCGGTCAATTCCATGCTCACCACTCGTGTCTGCGGCTAAATGAGATGCAAGATGGCTTGGTATAAGTGAAGACAGAGGCACATCCCTGGCTTTAATGTCTCGTTGTTTCCCTAGGGAGCGTCGGGACTGTAAACCATTCTGGCTAGCCATGAGAGTGATCCATCCCATGCAGACTCAAAAGGAGGTGAAGAGGATAAAAAAGGGGAGAGAGAATATAGTGTGATTCACCACACTTTAAAACAAGAGCATCAACTTCGAGCGCGGTACCTATATTGACGCGTAAAAAAGGGGCTAGGGAGGAAAATCCATGGATTTAATGGGATGTCGTTCAATCAAGATACAAAATCACGAGAAAAAGCCCATTTAAGATCTTGAGGCTGAAAACATTGCGACTTAAGGCGAATTTGTCATCAAATTCTTAGTCATTCGTAGAGTGTAGTGAGTAATGGGTCTAGTTTACTTGAGTCACGTTACTTTATTGCTGTATTAACCAATAAATTCTCTAATATTAGCTGACAAATCAAAATACCATAACGACACTAGTTAGGTAGCTACTTTAAAATGCTCAACCACGCAAAAGCGGCGAAGTTCAAGATAATAATAATAGCTCTTGATACCCTTATTAATGACTACGGAGCACCTTCATGATGCAGGCTGTGTCCAACCTTTCGAAACATGAGGTCTTTATGAAAATGGCCTTGAAAATGGTATTAACAGGCTCAAATATGTAGTATTTCATACATCTTATGGACACTGACAATCCTCTAAGGCCGAAACGGCTCTTGCTGTCGGCGAAACGCCTGTAGGCTGTGTTCTTGTAAATAAAGACAGGGTGATTGGATCTGGGATGAATGACACAAATAAGTCTTTGAATGTAGGTTGATTTAATTTCGTGTGGTGAATCTTTTTGGTGTATAATATACTGAAGCGCTAGTCTGTGTAGGGAACAAGGCATGCGGAGTTCCTAGCCATCGAAGAAGCGCTACGAAGCCACCCACGGTCCATTTTTCGTGAAACTGATCTATACGTGACTGTTGAACCATGTATCATGTGTGCCTCAGCACTACGGCAGTATCAGATAAGAAGCGTGTATTTTGGTTGTGCTAATGAACGCTTTGGGGGTACCGGGGGGGTCCTTACCCTCCATTCAGAGTCAGTGTTAAACATCCCCAACCAAACCCAACAGGATAGCAGATTGCTACAACAGTGCACTGTGGCGGCTAACAATTATAGCAGCCCTGCAATAGACCAGCCATACCCGGTTTACGGCGGTATATATAGAAAAGAGGCCATCATGCTATTACGGAAGTTTTATGTGCAAGAAAATGAAAACGGTGAGAAAGTTCTATCGATGAGTGATAAGTAACCATTTGTTAACTGTGGAATATAGCCCCAAATCCCAAAGGGAAAAAGGACCGCAAGCTCAAAGACGAGATAGAGGACGCTCCTCACTTGAAAGGAATCGAAGGTATATTGTCTATAGAATGACGTAGAAAAATGGAAACTGGTCATTTGTATTTGCCACAAGTATGATATAGATACAGGGAAAAGTTAGGAAAAGAATGGTTGTTGCATTCATCAATAGTAGGGGCTACCTATTGACTAGCCATCATTTTTTCACGCTCAGCTTCCAACTCTCGCTCGGCTTGACGATAATATTTTGCGGTGTCAACACCGTGCTAAAGGTTACGGTATCGTCAGCATTCATCTACAGAATTCTATCAGAAATTGAAATTGTGCCTACCTGGTTGTGGTTGACAACGTTGAACCAGGGAATCACATGAATAAAGAGCGAAGTGTAGCGGGAATTCCGTGCAGCAACGCCCTGCATGTATGGTGAGAGTACAGAGGTCCCGTATAGTGGCTCTCCTTTCTTGATCTTGTCAACCATTTCCCGCATATCCATCTCTTCTTCACGAGAGTTCTCCGTGAGTCCGTAAAATCGGTCTACAAGAGGGTTGCTATCAGTAACAGGATCTATGTAGAATCCTACAGCGCTGTCGGATTCGTGGATGGGGAATAACTGACTGCTGGACCGCTGGTAAACGGTAATAATTCCTGCTGCCAATCCAACGGCTCCGGCCAGTCTCATACATCGTGTATAGTTAATAGCACCAGATGCAGCAGGTTGAACACGTTCCATGATCCCGAAAAGCAGTGGGCTCACAACGGTGACGCCGGCTCCCATTATATAATCTGAGGGTCGAGCATATCCAAACACGCGGCGTACATGGCTAATAATCGCAAGATTGTTAACATTGGTGACCAGTAAATTACGCCACATCGGAATCATAATCAAGAAAGCAAGAGACTAGGGAAGCCTCATACGGGTCTGAATCTATTAACTGTGAGGAGACTGTCAGTACACTATTCGGCCTGTGTTATACGGGACGAACATACGGGATAGTCGGTTTTGAGTTGTTTTGGAGGCACAATTGGCCTTGCATGGTCGGCTGCCATCTTGCGACTGATGTATTGGCAGGCAATTGACCCTCAAAAGCGCTGTCAACTGCGTGGTCTTCGAGCGATGGCACAAGTTGACGTTTGGCTTAGTTACCCAAGTTGGTTTTCACTGGAGAGTCATGTGATGTAAAGATGACCTAATAATGCATGACTAATTAACCAAATTACAAAGGAATTCTATCCACGTGACTAACGCGCGGACTGATCGCGGTATTTCGCGAGGTCGCGTTAGTCTGAATTGAATTTGATATTGGGGACATTGTAAATGACGGTCGAAACACTACCTGCCGGTGGAATATATATTGAGCTTCTTGGAAGAATGGATGTCAATGAAAATGTGGACGACCTTTTTGATTATGATGCTGGGCTGGATGATATTCTTCGCCAAGTAGAGCAAGATACAAACAAAACCACAGCTGCCAGCTCTAGTCAAGCCCAACCAAATCCGGGGAAAGGGGTTCTTGGTATTGATGATGAACTCCAAGTTTCGAGAAAGCGAGCGCCGGTAGCTCAACTTGATGAAGCAAGGTAAACGAGTTCGGACATTTCTTGGATCAATCTGGATTAAAATATGAGACCCGAGTTTAACTTCTAACCGATGTTATCAGGTTGTTATCACAAGATGGAATTCCGAGGCTGCGGAAAATGGCGAGAACATCATTGAAACTAAAGGGCAAAGGCCATGAGGTAAGGAAGCTATGGACATGTGTATATGCGTAGATTGCTAATCGTTTTGGTACAGTTTTCTGATGCTGGGCGATTGCTCAACTTTTACCGGCTATGGCTGGATGAGTTATACCCTCGTGCCAAATTTACTGATACCCTGGCTACCATTGAGAAACTTGGTCATTCTAAACGACTCCAGGTGATGCGGAGAGAATGGATTGATGAAGGGAAGCCTATGCCAGAGGTAGACGATGATGATTTCCGATTCGGCAAGGAACAAAACCTCCCTACACGAGAAAAGGAGAATCAACAGGATAGAACTCTCCCGAACCCAGAGGAGGAAGACCTTTTCAGGGATTCTCCACATCCGGAGACAACCTCATCCACGAAGGGTGCTGTAAAGACTTTATTCGGTGGGGACGGCAATGGACAGAGCAGCGTGTTGAACACTACATCTATAGATGACGAACTCTTCGAGTGGGAGTGGAATGACAAGGTGCTAGGCGATCCGCCTAAAGACAATATAGGCCATGCCGGGACTAATAAGGTCCCAGCCGGCTTCCCTGATGAGGAAGATGACCTTGATCGACTACTAGCCGAAGATGATAATGGGATCAATAGCAACAGCATTCATAAGCCAAATGCCGAAGCGCCCGCATCCAACGCAGTTGTAGACGATTACGAGAATGACTGGGAAGCAATGC